AAGTAATACCAGCTAGACACAATCAGTAAATGGTTAGGATCAACCTCAACTGTTTTATTTTCTAGATAGGGCTGGTCTGAGCTATGAACAGCCATAAAGACAAAGCACGGGTATCTGTTGCAGAGGCACGGTGGAAACTCTAAGGCTTGGATGAGTGTTGTGATTAGAACAGTGAAACAAGAAGATAATTTAGATGACAGTTTAAAAGGATCTGAGCAGTCAAAAATTTAAATAGTATGCAAAATGTGGTAAGAATGTGAAACAAGTTTTAACTCTCTTGAGAGTAAAATTGCATCTTACACCTCTTTGGATAGAATGAGGACGTGAATTGTAGAAGCAGCTTGTTGGCAACTCTAAAAAGATGGCCAAGCTGAAGGCACTCAGAGGTTCCCCGTAAATATAAAGAAGAAAAGGTGAAGAGTTGATGCCTGGAGTGTAGACAAAAAATTGAGAGGTCATATAGACTTGCTGCTTTTATACTGAGAACCCTCATGTCCTTCGTCTGTTCAGGCAGTCTTTGGCATCCGAAGATAAGAGTGTAATGGGAAAGAAAATGAAGGCACTAAGAACACCAAACTGTGTGCTCAAAGAAGGATATAAATGAGTTTTAAAGGAAATCACATCTTCTCTACTTTATAGTGTAAGAGCTCATTAGAATTCAAGTGGTGGAATAAAAGAATAGGAAGTTTCTGGAGCTCCTCTTTGAAAGGACTTGTCAGTCCAATGTGGCAGTGAACCTTTTCATAGAAGTGGGAAACCTGACAATGCTGCTCACTGGAGAACAACACTGGAGGTAAAGAGGAATGAGAGGAGAGAAACAGTAAAAATCTTAGACTCTCAATATTAGGGAGCCCCTGAATTCTGAGGTAAAATCAAAACCAGAAACCTGATTCAATTCCAGCAATGTACTTAATGCACTCCTTAACAAACAAACAAACAATGTCAAAACTTTAAAGGCTTTTTAATCACTAGCAGCTTAGGATCTTTACTGTCCCCACAAAACAAAATACAGGAAGAGAGTAGGGGGGGAAAAAAGGAATAGCTAGCAGTAAATTTATGTTACAAGTGTTGAAGAATTGTAAAAAAGAACTTAGGTATGGAAATTGATGTGGAATTTATAATTGGCAGGATCAAGCAGAAATCTTCACAGGTAGGCCTGTTGCAAGGTGAGTATTTTGAATAATGTGAAGCCATCTAACTTGTCCTTAAAAAGTTCTCTGTTCATGAGGTAAACTGGAGGAAAACTACTGTAGTAACAGTATTTAGAAAGGTAAATAGAAATCCTTGATATTGTATTTACACATGGGACAAAGTTAGGAGGAATTGCAAATAATGACAGTGGCAGTTACATAGGAGTTGTGGTCATGGCCTTAGCCGCACCCATCCAAACAAAATAAGCTTGGATGTATTAAGAAAGAAATATACGGATTTTAGAGGAAAAATGTAGCCTGTAGCTAAAGAGTGGAGGACTACGTCCTTAAAAATGGTGATTCTGGTAAGTCTGTTAGTCACAGTGGGCAATCAACTAATCATAAACTACTGATTTAATGCTGTGGCTAAAAAGTGCCGGCCTTGGATGTACGAACAGGGGTTTGATGAGTAGGATGGTGGGATTAGCGCTCAACGTGGCACTCATGGGACCACAACAAAAAATCAGGAATTCGGATCTGATGTACACTTTTCAGAAAGAACTCTGGCAAATTGTAACAGGTTCATAAATCAGATGTGTGATTCCAAAACTGCAAAATCCCTTACAGTAAGAGATTTATTCTTAAATTTGTAAAGTTTAAATACCTTCACACAGCACAAAATCTAGATATGAGAGATACTATAATTATTAGCAATGCATGTTACGTAGGTCATGCCTCAAAAATAAAGCCTAGCAAAGTGAGTGTACATGGATTAATTGGTGAGTATGTTAATTAGCAGCCAATTGTTTCTCCATTGCCTTTGTCATCTGCTGATGTCTTCAGACAAAGGCTCTTCAGAAGACACAGTTTGGCCTAACATGAGATGGGCATTAATCAAAAGCAGGTTATTGAGCTTAATAGAATGATAATTAGACACAATTCTATGGCCTCTGCCATGTACAGGAGTTATTATGATTTCTGAAGTTAGCAGAACTTTTTTTTCAGCGACACGTAGGGTGACATCTTTGTACTGCTGAAATTAGAGCAATGACAGTATATTTCTAAGGCTTAGTTTTTGAGCATATGTTGGTTTTAATTGTGAAAATGTGGTAGATGATCATTAGTCATCTGTTTTTGCAGTTATGCAGAATTGCCTTTTCCTGAATAAAGGCATTGTTTTACTTTACAAAAACCGATAATTCAAAGCATCAGAAATGTAAAGTATCTTCAAATGTATTTTTAAAGGGTGTTTGCTTAATCCCATAGAATTTAGCAGGCATTTTTCTGATTCGTTTTTTGTGTTCATAACGCAAACTTATTCTTGGGAGTGCAATGCAGCATTAACCATGAGAAAATACTGGCTCAGGAAGGAAGGGAAGGAAGAAGTAAAATTTGAGAAAAGATTTAACACACAGTTTCATCTATAATGTCAAATGCAATTGCCTCTATACTGCAGTCTCCAGTGTAGACTCCAGTGACTGTGACTGAAGTGCTTAGTATTTTTCACTTTTTCTATGTGCTCTGAGAAACAATACGACAGCAAAACCTCTGCTTTCTGTGGGAAGGTGAGGTGAGTTCAATCTGAATATGGAAGTTCAATCTGAATATGAGGAAAAACTTTTTTACTGTGAGGGTGACAGAGCACTGGACCAGGCTGCCCAGAGAGGTTGTGGAGTCTCCTTCTCTGGAGACATTCAAAACCCACCTGGACGCATTCCTGTGTGACCTTGTCTGAGTGATCCTGCTCTGACAGGGGGGTTGGACTGGATGATCTTTCCAGTTCTCTTGCAACTCATAAGATTCTGTGATTCTGTGTTGGTCATATGAACAGATTAATATTAATTTCTACTGCTGTTTTGGTAATGTTAAGTGAATGGTTCAGGTAAACATGGCCTTCTAATATGGTGCATGTTGTTTGATAATCTGGATTGCATTAGTACTGCTATTTTGAAAAGAAGTTGTGGTGAATTGAAAGGACTTAAGTCTACTTAGTTTTAAGGAATTCAGTTTCTCAGTAAAGTATAATTGCAGTACTACTGTCTAATCTCTTAGATGTTTATCATTGTGGCACACAGGTCTCCAGCTGAGATGTAATTAATTAGTTTTTACCTGGCGCTCCTACGGTTCTAATGTCATGTCATGTGAACCCGAGCAGCAGCATCGTGACCTGGGTGCAGTGAGGGGGTAGTGGAGCTGTCGCAGTACAAGGAGAGCAGGATAGAGCTGGAGTGCAAGTGACTCACTTTACCAGGTTAAGCATTCGGCTCCTCAGGGCTTATCATGCTTTGTTACTACGGGCTAATTTAGATCCTTAAATTAGCAGCTACTTTCAGGAGAAATTTCCAGATGATCACTTTTATAATTTCAGTGTTTTCAGTTGTATGTCATTTTACTCTCTGGGGAAGTTGTTCTCTGAGAGTTGCTGGGAGGGGGTGAGGATGAGATGGTTGGGGAAGTGGGTGAGTGCTTTGTTAGCTTTTTGCTTTAGAAGCAGAAGGAATTGAACTGGTTGAGGCAGTAATAAAGTTGTAAAAATTGTTTTATCCAGCAAAGGTGGCTTTTCATTGTCCATGTTTCATTGTTGTTGCACTTTAAATTAATTAAGAAAATAATAATAACTTAAACATTGCAACAGTACTGCTTAGCTGAGTTGAATTAAACTCAGTTGTTTGTTGTGCAGGTTCTCATTCATTTATAATTAGGAAGTAATATTGTATAAGACTTCATATTGTACTGTATATAGGAGATATTCAGCTTTTCTATTTTAACAGCTTTTGGTCACATTATTGTGATACTGTGTTAGGACTTGGTTGTTCAATTTTACTCCAAAGCTTTTGGTCCTGAAGGAGCAGAACTCTTTTACCAAGGCTGTAGGCTCAGTCGTATCTAATGAACTTCAGAGGGACTTTAATGAGGTTGTTATTTAGCCAGGGCTGTGGGCTGTGTTCATGGGTGCTAGTGAAAGCCACGAGCCTCATTTGAGACTTTGGACTATGCTGGACACTTCAATGCTTGCAGTCATCCTCATTTCATACGCCCCCTTTAGACTTTAAAGTGCACAGCTGAGGTTTAAATAAAAAATTAAAAAGGAAAAGCTATATGGGTGAAAGTTAGCTTTTCACTGAAGAAGGTACTGTTTGGCTAGTTGTGTCAGAATGATTTGCAGTGAGTGCTATGACACATTTGTAAACTCTTTCTTACTGTCCAAGGGTTAGGAATGGTATGCCTTTAATGTTTTCTTAAGCAATCATTTCTGAATGTGTTGCCTCCTGAATTATATTTTGAGAGTAGCCTATGAAAACAAATAGCAGACCAGAATATGATGAATTCTCTTAAAAGTAACACCATTAAAAAAGAGTAATAAAAGTAGCATTCTTGGGTATGGCATGTCTGTTAGAGATCTCCCACTTATTCTGACCTTTCTAAATTTCATTGTTTCACGTTTGATAGGACTGTGCTTATGGTACTTGAGAGCAATCATTTTCTCAAATGTGTATTAAACTGTTTTTAGAGACTGTGTTTTTAGAGAGACATATAAATGTGTATGGCCTGAACAACTTTGTTATCTGAAGTGATGCATTTGTCTGAAAACAACGCGCCAAAATCTGTCATTTAAATCAAAAAACACCACATGTTGAGAAGGGGACTAGGAATACATTGTGTTATGAGACAGCCTGATGATAATGATGGGAAAAATTGTGCAATGGTACCTTTTGGGGAAATGCTAAGGAATTGCTTTTCCTCCAAAATATCCTGTGAAGATGGGACAGTAAGATTTCTTCTTGTATGTATATTGTTGTTACCAGAGCAGCTTCTTTAACTAATGAGAAGATTCTTTTAGTATCCTTCTGACTTGTGCACTCTTTTCAGCTGACAGCCACAGCTCTCCCAGAGAAGACACCCCAACTGGGAGCACGGACTCTCTTTCTTCCCAATCTCCCACACCTGCCTTCTCTAGTAGCCCGCCTGGCCTCCTGGATGGAAACCACCTTATCATGGACAGTGGAGATCTTGCAGGCTTCACAACAAATCTGTAAGTAACCTGAATATTAAATAATATTTTTCCACTAGTATGATTGTGCACATGAAACACATTTCCCTTCTCAGTTTGGCAAGTGATTTTTAGAAATTACATGTAATTGTATTTGTTTTCTTCTGCTACAGAAAGGTATGTTTCCATGTTGTGGTGGAGTTCAGAGGCTATTTCAATGTGGCTGAGTTTGTAGGAAAGAAATGTTCCTTTTCTACAGAAACCTAGTGCATTTTACTGTAACCTGTTATAAAATTTTAACTGTGTTTTGTTTAGGTGATGAATATCTATGTTATTATCTGTACAGTGTATTACCCTAGTTTTATTTCGAGATAGTATTAACCTACACTTCGATGCAGGGCTATTAGGATTTAGGGCCAAATCTGGGAGTTGGATAAATACACTGTATTGAGTGTATGCTCAGATGCTGTTGACTAAGAACATTATTCATCTCTTGTTAAAAATTAAATGCCTGTTTTCCAATAAAAGTGTAGTCTGTCACTTTCAGTGAACTCTGTAGGTGTTCAGTTATTGAGCATGACTTCAGTGTAGCAAAAATTGACACTAACAATATTAGTCCTATCGCTGTAATGCATACTCAGGTTTGATACACAAAAAGTTGAACGTACCTTGTTTTTTAAATCAGAAGTTGAACTTGAATTGAATTCTCTGGTTTGCTATTCATACAAACTTTAACATATCAAGACAAAGTTTTCCAGTCTTCAGTGCCAAGAATATGGAAGGAGCAGGTCTGGAGAAAAGATATGTTACACATATTTTCCATAATGGCATTTTCTGTAGCCTGTTCTGTTGATTAAGCAAGTGTGTGAAATATATGTGTAGGTGTACATAACACTTTAGAATATATAGATAGCCAAATAATGGGTTTATATTTCTACATGCACACACAAATAATTAACTGCTGATTAGAGTACTTACTAGCTAGAAGAATATTTTCTCATATGTATTGAAAGAATTTCAGATTTATAGGTATTTTTTACATAAATGTCATTTCTTCAGTAGAGTACTGAAGTTACTCTTTCCTTATCTCTTTACTCTTGCACTGTCCACTAGTAATGGGTAGGATTACTAATAAGTTGTATTTGATGAAAAGAGGTGCACGTGTGGAAAACATGCTGTAAATGGTATAACACTAGAATGTCTGTGAAAGCAAGCATAGCTAATTAAGAAATGTATATTCAGCAGAACATTGATAATGTCACTTCAGAGAATAAAAGAAGGAAGTGTTCATTTTATTCAGAGAGTTCAGGAACTTCAGGTATTTGAAGGTCCATCGCATTTTTACATCTGTTAATTTACATGGGAAATTGTACTGTACTGCTGTTTTGGAAACTTTGGTGGCTTGAGGTTTTGTGCTCAGCTGGAAGCAGTACTTAAACAGTTCTGTTTGGAAGGGAAAAAAGTGAATGGTATGTGCATCTAGATTATTTGTCAAAAGCAGTTTCTGTCTTCCACTCATCTGTCTGAGAAGTCTGCTTAAGAGCTACCTCTGTAACAAGCCTGGACAGTGACAGAGAGTAGCCTGTGAAAGGTACATTCTTCCTTCTGCTTTCTCACCCTAATTTGGCTTCTCTTCCCCTTCTGGTTCTGGTGACTCAGAGGGCCTTGCCTTAACAAAAAAATATGAAACAAAAGAACAAAACAAAACCCAAAATAGCCCCACCATATTGATGGCAGAGGTAGATGTCAGCAATAGAGAATGTACTTGGTGGACTTGGTCAGTTGTTGTGCATCATGAAGTACTGTGGGCAGGGAAAGGTGGTGGTTGACTTGGTGTTGTGTAACTGTGGTAGCTCTCACTGCTCCAGGAAAGGTAGCATTGGCTGTTGAACTCTGCTTTGGTCATAGGCTATTCTCATAAGTAGGTGGAGAACAGTCCTTTCTGTTTGTGTGGGATTTCAAAATGTTTTGCATTTTGTGCCAAATTGGAACAAAACCAATTCTTAAAGTCTCAGTATCTTCTCTAAAATGGTATTGCAAGTCTTCACTGAGCTACAGTAAATACCATACTGTGTCTAGGGAAGATGGAAATACAAGAGGATCCGGTTTCTCAAGTTTCTGCAGATGTTTTTAACACATGGGTGTTACTTGTAGAAGTCAATCACTATAAGTTATGTAGTCAACAAGGTGATGGGGATTCTTTGCGGTAGAATAGTTGCTTGCATTGTTTCCTGGGGAAGGGTTGATGCATTGTGGGTCAAGACAGGTCAGATATTCCAAGGTTGGTTTATATCAGTAGTTTGCTTTAAGCAATAAGACGTGATGGATAGCAAGAATACTTCTTGTGGTATTTGTTTTCAGGAAGGGAAGAGCTTGTTTTTTTTCCTGAATGGTAGCTGTTGTCACCATGATGTTTCCTGGCAGAGGGTTTTGTGATGCATGCCCTTTCCTTGTCCCGCCTTTAAAACCAAAAGGAGCTACAGCTTCCAGCATGATGAAAGAAGCACCAAATGAAGGCAAATACACCCTCACCTCCTGGCTGGCACCAGGAGGGGACTGTAAGGCTAGAGTGGTGAAAGAAGCTAAGAGAGCAAGGGCTATGCAACTAATTTTGAAGTGTTTCACAAAGCTCTGACTGCTCAACTGTCATGTCAGTGTTTAAAGATATACTATGCATACAGTGTAACTGGAAGGTGATGTTTCACATATGTGCCATTCTGAAGCCCCGCTAAGCTGTTGGTTCTCATGTCTGTAAGTGTGCATCTGCCTGATGCTAGATTTTCTTTGAAAGCTCTTTGTGGATCAGACATATGCCCTGTGTTGTCATATACTGTTGTAGGGGTGTGTAGAGAGTTGGGTGATGGTTGGCTCTTACTGCCCACGGCAAGAGTGGTTCTCAATGGAGACCCAAGTTTGCTATTCTAAGATTATCTTGCACCCTAAACCTTTTTCAACCTTTTCCCTGAAGATATTTTTAACTGCACGCTTCCATCTAGAGCCAAATACTAAAAATAAATACATTTTATGTTTACATACACTCTATGGTAGAACACAGAGAGCTTTCTTCCCCTGTCAATCACAAAGTTACAGAGCCGTTTATGTAGACACAGGATTCAAACTCCAAATAACCCAGGATGGGCGAATTATCTTTTCTGCTTGGTGAAGCACTGCATCATAAGTATGTATTGCTTGAAAATCTCTTCCATCCAAGGATGTTTAGCACAAGCTAATCTCAGACATAAACTGATAATTATGTCTGAGATTATATAATAATTATGGTACTGAGCTGGGCAGAGTATTCCTCCCTTGTAGTGCTCTCCATTGGTATGGGTATTTTTTTCCCTTTAAGGCTGAGCAGCAGTGGCAGTCTCAATTTAATGTTAACCAAAGCATTTGCATTCTCTCTCTGTCCTCTCTGCCTTATTTAGGTGTCCACGCACACTTGCCCTAAAGCTACAGAATTAACATTCTACAGCCATTTACCTTCCTTAGTTTCCACTGGAACCACTGACACAGTCCACTTTGCTCTGACAGAGCTCCAAGTGGTTGCTGCTTCTTTAAGCAGAGCATGTTTCAGACAGTTTTGAGACTGCTGTTAGTATCGTTTCACCAGTAGTACGTTCTCAAAATGCTCATTATTTCCCTCAAAGCCATAGTTGGTTCTGAGGAAAAAAACAGTTTCCATGTTAGACGCAGTGAGTTCTTTGCATGTACCTTCTAATTCAGATTGCCACCATAGCTGGTCTTCTGATGGTAAGCAGTGTCTTGTAGAAGAAATGTGGTTGTCCATATAGGCATTCTTTAGCAGCTTTTTTAATCTGTATCTTCTGCTATTTGAGACACTGGAAAATAGGCAGTATTCCTTCTTTCATGAATTTGCCAATATAAAAATTTGTAAAGTAGAATTTACAGATATAGTGATATTTGCCATGTTGTGCCTTGGGTTTAGCACGTACATCATGTATTGTAACATTTTATTCCCTCTGTACAGAACAGATACATTTTGTGAGTTGCCTATAATATTATTCTGACCTGGATTTAACAAAAAAATTCCAACCATCTTTTATCCATAGCCATCAGTTTCCCTCAAAGTGTTGTTTACCCTACAATTGCAAATTACCTGAGGAGTTTAGACCACACAATCCACCCTTCACTCCTTCCTTCAGAGTTGCTTCAAATCCTGGTTGTTCTGAGAAAGGGTTATTGCTAATCTCTCATGGCAAATGAATTTGTGTTTTCTTCCTTTCTCTTTCTTTCCTAGTAATATTTTTGCTGTTTCTCCTGTTCTGGAAGCTGCTGCAGATTGCTGCTCCCTGCAGATTCTTTGGCAACAGTCAGTCAGTTTGCAGTGTTGTTAAGGAAAAGTATTCATATGAAGGTGTCACCAGAAGCACCAGGAATCTGCTGATAATAGATGAGGGGAAGACACAGAGTGGAAAGGGGGAAGGGTGAGTAAAGAATAACACCATGCTGGGAATTCAGCAAATAGAATGAGTTAACATACAAATTTGTGCCATTAAAACAAGAGTGAGGGGAAGAGGAAAACAAAAATACAAACATGTTGTGGCAAATAGCCCATGGGTAGTAGTAGTAAGAGGGAAATTTAAATTTATTCCCAAATTTCATGGAGGAGGAAAAAATCAGCAGTAGCAGAGGACAGGGCTGGACAAGAATAAAAAGTCAGGAATGACTTACTTAGGATTTCCCTATAAAGGCAAACGGGTGCCCAGTAAGCTGAAGTGTGAGTTTGCATCATCTAAGACACTGTGCACTCCTTGTGTGCATATTTAGCGCTGTGTCTGCTTTACAAGTGGAGGAAACCTGAACTTCTGTGCAAGGATGCACTTAATATAGTGTGAGCTTTATAGTGTGTTGCAAATTGTTCTGCAATTTTTGGCTAAGATATTGATGTTACTACTTGATCCTCTTTCTCACTTCCCCAGTTAGTGCATGTGGCTGAATCTGGTTTGTGGAGTGGTGGTATTTGTTTCTAATGCTTTGTTGGTGAAGATGGTAAAACAACTTAATTAGTTTCCTTTATG